AGTTGACATACAATTACTTTATATACTGTATGTTATCATAATACATTTTCTGATCAAAGAAAAGGAAAGTGTTGAATCACAGGTAATCTAAGTAACAGGAAAAAGTGAGTGATTAATTTGTTCCTGTGCTGATACAACCTTACTTCTTTCCATTAGAGTATTCACTTCTGAGAGGTTTTCAAAATGTTCAGCAGAATTTATTCCTACCTTTTTATTGTCACTGTGATTGTTTTAAAGTTTGCAGCTAGTAATCTGTGCTTCACACATTGAACATCGCTGTTAACATTGCTGCAGTTTCCATTACCAGCCACGTAAGTATATTTTCATTAAAATCACCTAAATGCATTATTTGAGAGAGTAAAACAAAGCCAGCTGTTCAGACAACCCAGTTAACAAATGTATTAACTGTTTTTTAGTTGAATCCCATCTGCAGTCTCTTGGGTTTCCCTGTAATTTGTGAATGATTCATCATGTGGTGCATTCTTTCTCATTCATTTCTTTTCAATTTTATTAAGAAAGTTACAGGCCCAATTTCAAATATGTTCAAATAACTTACATGGTTTTAGTGTCCCACAAGCATGAAAAAAAATACTTTTTGGTGTGGTGGCTTTTGACAAATTACTGCTGTATGTCATATTACATCAAAGAAAATCATTTTCCATGAAGTTGTCAAAAGAAAAAAGCAAATTCTCATAACCTTCTGACACACCCGTGTCTGAAGCTGCTTTTGTAGTGGGAACAGAAAATTAAATAAGAAATATGTTAGGATATGCCTGCAGAAAAACCTGAAAGGCATTTTGGAACAGAGGGTGTGTGAAATGTGTTGGGGTACAATGGAGGTGATGCGAATCACTCAGTAAATCTTCAGATACAGTTAAAAAGTGCATATCAATTCAGGATGAATGTTCAAATTGATTTTAGTTTATTTACCTTCAACACATGGTAGTTTAAACAAATATCAGATAATCTAATCCTGTCAGCTAAAGCCATACAGGTTAATAGGTGTAATTAGCCCAAAGGTCAGACCTTATTTCCACTTAGTCAGCGTCAAGTTTATATGCAGCTGATTAAAAGAGTCACCTCTGAGACTAAGAAAATCAAGTGAGTTAGGGACAGATTCTCACTAAGACTGGAAAAAGCAGGGGGAAAGATCGTAAGCAAACAGAGGGAAGGATGTTGTAGAAAGTAGAAGAGTGAAGAAAGAGATGAAACAGGAGGCAGAGACAAGGGTGGGGGTGGCTGGAAAAAAGAGGCACGAGGGAGAAGAGGGAAAGAGGAAGAACATCTGGCTTAGCCTTGAAATCTACTGGGAAGATGGCAGGGTCTTTGAAAGACTTCCTGTTGTGTATGTTTGCTGTGGTTTCTCTGCTCACCTGTGGTGCAAATCGAGATAGCATGTGTGGTGAGCTACGACACCTTGTAGTGGGACCCAGGAATCAACTTCTTCTTCTTTGGCAAGAATCCCTCATATGCATAGCCAGAGCACTCATTGGCAGTGAAATACTTGGTACAACAACATTTTAACTACTTGTTACGATCTTTGCTTTTTCCATCAGCTTTTTGCTGTTTAAATTATTACTCCAACAAAAACCTTGCTAAACCTGCACAGATATAGTGAATATTAACTCTAAACAATCTGGTCTTTTTTATTTTACAAAAAAAGACCAGACAAACAAAGCACTGAGACAACTAGACAACTGCAGCCTTCACTTCTTACTGCTATCACAAGTTTGAAAAAATGTTTTCCTAACGAAACCACAGACACAGCATGGAGAAAACTTATTAAGATAGAGCAAGATGCTGAAGCAAGAATGTCAAGAATGGTAAAGAAAATGTCATGTGACAAGGATTAATACTATGTTTGTATATATATACCTAGGGTAAACTACATCTGTCAGTGGATTAATCCTTCATTTCTTTGTCATAGATATAACTCGATAGTAGCCGTTCGCTATGTCCTACGCTAGCACGGCAAACATCAAAGATAAAAAAGATACTCACAAAGGATGTCAGTCTTGGGCCTGCTGTACTACAGGACCTACTGCAAGTAGAAGTTAACCATCTTCTTAGTACATTTCTGCCACATCACTCTCTAACTTAAAACTGAAGTTTCACTCTTTTTTTCAAGTGAAGTAGCTGCTAGTTCATTCTAAACGGATTTTCAGTTCAAACAGATATATTAAAACTAATTATCTAAGATAAGCGCACATAAACGCACATGCACCCACATACATTCCAAGATTTTTCTCATAATGTTTTTGAGTCAAATCTTCCCTCATTGAACAATAGATCCCCCTCCCCCTTTCCCATAAACTGGTTTAAGCATAAGGCAGAAATGTGACACAGCAGGCATATGTCTATCTGAAACACACTGACGCAACACAATTGCAGTGTGTTTACTTCCAGGCAGTGTGGTAAAATTCATTAGAATTTACCACCATGATTTCAGAATGAAAAAATTGTGGAACCAAGTATCATTTTATTGGACTCTTACTATCTCCCACGATAATTTTGAATTGGTTTTTTATACATTTACTGATCTCTAGATACAGGAATGCATCGTGAGTGCACTTGAGGTGGGGATAATATGTTAATATGTTCATTTCCTGCTGCCTATTAGTTCTGCCAAGATCTGTAAATCCCTGTTCAACATGAGTCTGACAACTAAGTAAGTAGATAAATAAATTTAGACTTTAGTACAAAAAGCTGGATCGGGACATCCCTACTGTATTTCTACATATTAAGATGATTTCTATAACCATAAATTAGTTATTGAGGGGTGAATTGATTCAGACGGAGCACTGCTGAAGGCCTAGGTGTGAAATGCATGGTCCGCCACTGCGTTACACCCATAAGATAAAAAAAACAGCTTTTATCATGCACTGCCTCCTGGTGGCTCATAATCAAAACACAAGAAATGTGAACATCCACCCATTATCAATACCACTTATTCCCTGATGTTGCAGGGGGAACTGGAGCCTTTCCCAGTGATCAACGGATGGACAGTCAATCGCAGGGCCACACACAATGACAAACAACCACTCACACTCACATTCTCTCCTAAGGGCAATTTGGAATGTCCAATCAACCTAACATGCATGTTTTTGGACTGTAGGAGGGAGCCGGAGAGAAGCCACGCAGACACAGGGTGAAAATGCAAACTCCACGTTTCACAAATTCCCTAAATTCTAAGGAAAGAAGCTTTAGTGCTAGTGTTATGTCATGGATAATGGAAGTTGGCTGTGAGCCCACATTTTCCTTCTTATAAACATGACCGTTATTTTGTGTCTTTTTAAAATAGATTTAACATGTATCAAAGCAGTCCAGTACTGAACACATCATGGAAAATGAGGGGTTCAGTATCTTGTTAAAGGGCGTTTCATTATCTGGACTTAGGAAATCGGACTACTAACCATAACTTCAAAGGCACCGATGCACAGTCGTCATCGCTGCAATATTTTAAACTGGCATTGACGTCCCAATTTATTCAAACAACAACAAAGGTATGAGGCCTCATACCACACCCACAATAGCCACAGGATCTGCTGGCAAAATTGTAGTGAAATTAAAAACTGAGAAACATAGCTGTTTTGGTAACATGATGGCAACTTACACAGAATAGCATTTGTGGTGTTGCAGTTATCTGTCATCATTTAGAAACTGAAGCCTTGCATCATCATATGTCAAAAATCATTTAAATATTTTCAAATGATGGATCTTAAATCACAGAATAATACAAACTCCACATTGGAAGAACTGTGAAGCTATGCTCAGCAGAAGCTTTTCCTTAGGAGCATGTAGGCAAAAACTTGTGTTTCCTGGATCATTAGCTGACAGGTCAATCTGACTAATGATCTAGGATCAGTCCAGAGTAATTACACTTGGAGAGAGGATTTGGCTACGAATATGCTTCTACCTGAGGGTGCATGTGCGTGAAGGTTTGTAAGTGTGTTTGTGCGTGTATGTGTGTGAGAGAGAGAGAGAGAGAGAGAGAGAGAGAGAGAGAGAGAGAGAGACTTTTGACTTTTGACGTCTTTTATTTATGACACAATAGGAATACACAATCTTAACAGAACTCAAATACAGTAACTACACACACACCCAGAACACACACACACACACAAACAAACAAAAATAGGTCAAAAACTGAGAACCAGGGAGCCATCTTCCTCTAGTGAACATAAAACACGTCTGATCCCCCACAGAGCCCTGAACGTCTCCAGATTGTTCGTCAGCGTGTAATATGCGTGCTCCAATCTCAGACGAGCCGCAACCAGACCCTTCAGGCACCGCACCACATCCGTCCAGCCCCGACCCAACATCTGATGCTTCCTTGTTTTCCAAAGCGCCAGTTTAGCTACGCCAAGTAAAAAATTGATTAAAACCAATGTCAGCTTTCTCCTGACAACATATTTGGGTCCAAAAACAAACAGGGGGACAGAGAAGGACTCTCCCAGGGCTTCCACCCATTCCTTTAAAACTCTAAAAAGGCCAGCTAGCCGAGAACAACCCACCACTAAGTGCTCCAGTGTTTCACTTTGAGTGCAGAATGGACAGCCCTCCCCAGTGCTTGGATCCAGGTGAGCTCTGTGTCTGTTCGTGGCTATTGATCCATGTATCATCCTCCACTGGAGATCCGCCATCCTTTTCTCAACAGGGGGTTTGTACAGGATCCTCCACCTGCCCTTAGGGGTAATGTCTGATGCAAACACCTCGCCCCATTTTGACTCCTTCATTCCAGCCAGCGTGTGAAGGTTCAGCACCTTCACACAGCTGAGATACAGCTGCTTTTTTCCACAGGAGCTGAATGTGCCCAGCACCGGTGTATTCCATGTTAGAAGTGAACCATCCTCCTCCTGCCGCTCCCCAGCAGCCGGACAGACGCTCAGAGACGGAAAAGCATACATGCTGCCATCCGTCCATTGGCTAGCATGACTCCCGGCAAAGTCTCTCAGGGGCCCAGACAGGGACTGCCAGACTTCCTCCACAATCCTACTCACCAGTCTTGAGGATCTGACATTTATGACATCACCAAGTGTGTCCATGGACTTATTCACCAGGTGGCCCAGTTTGGTCATGCCAGCCTCAACAAATTTAGTCCTCAGAGTGACGGAAGACAATGAGGCATTCCTACGGAAGTCATTATTAAAAAGTGGCTCCTCATAGACCCACATCCCTAGCCCAGGGTCAGGAGTTCTTGAGACCTTCAGTGTCTGCCAGGCGTTGATCACCGAGCTGTAGAAGGGTGGGAGTCCTGTCAGGTCTACTTCGGATGTTTTAAGAAGAAACAGCTGTTTATCCAGCCCAAGCCGGCCAGCGTTCCTGAGCAGCAGCCGAGCAGGAGCTAACCAGCAGCGACTGCATCCATATAACAGCCTCTGTGCAGTCTGCAGTCTGAAGGCCGCCGTTCAGGACAGAATGTCCACAAGTCCTTGCCCTCCCTCTGCCACAGGGAGATACAGGACCGCCGCCCTCAGCCAGTGTTGACCAGACCAGAAAAAGTTCACGAGAAGCCGCTGTACGTCCTTCAGGAAGCCTGTTGGTGGCACCAGCACGATGAGCTTGTGCCACAGAGATGATGCGACCAGGTTGTTTACAATCAGAGCTCTCCCCCTATAGGACAGGTGAGGTAGCAACCATTTCCATTTAGACAACTTGGCTTCCACCTTTTCCAGCATTCCCTCCCAGTTCTGCCTCTGAAAATCCTCTGTCCCTAAAAAAATTCCCAGGCTCTTCAGACCCCGTGTACCCCACCTAAGGTCCCCAGGTAAAACGGGAGCACTCCCCACGCACCACTCTCCCACTAAGCAGGCTGCACTCTTTCCCCAGTTTACCTTCGCAGAGGAAGCCTTCCCGTACAGGGCCAAACTTACCTCCAACTCCTGAACATCTCCCTGGTCACAAATGAAAACATTCACATCATCAGCATATGCTGATACAACCACAGGAGGCATCTGAGCCAGCTCCGGCAGGGAGAGACCTCTCAGTCTGCTCCTCAGCCGACAAAGGAGAGGCTCAATGGCCATGCTGTACAGTTGGCCCGAGATGGGGCATCCCTGTCTGATCCCTCTCCTGACTGGCACTGGAGCACTCAACCCACCTCCCACCTTTACCACACAAGAAGCGTCTCGGTACAGTAGTCTCGTCCATGACAGAAAACCCTCTCCAACACCAAAGGCCTGTAGCGTGGAAAAAAGAAAACGAAGGTTACTACCGTAACTACGGTTCTATGAATCCCGGATGACCGCCAGAGGCGGTGCTTCAAGCACTGAATGATCATTCTTGCGCATGCGCAGGTCGAGTACTAATGACAACAACGTCACCTGTGACCTGCCGGGGACCCACGTGACTCTATATAGTCACGTGGCACCCGGCAATCAATCCCTCAATCTTCTCGCGAAAGCAGAGATTCCGAGGGACCAAGCACTCTGGCGGTCATCCGGGATTCATAGAACCGTAGTTACGGTAGTAACCTTCGTTCTATTTCATCCCTACTGACCGCCAGAGGCGGTGCTTCAAGCACTGGATGACTCATATCAACAAGGTCACGAGGAATCAGCAACAAGGAACAGCGACTACACCACCCACCTAATGTGATGTAGAGGCATGCTGCTCCAAAATTCCTTGAAGCGGATGGGGCGCAGCCACATTCACCCTGTAGAACCGAATAAAGGTACTAGGTGATTTCCAGGAGGCCGCACGGCATATAACATCCAATGGCACCCCAGTCATGGCAGCAAACGACGTCGACATGCCCCTTGTAGAGTGGCACTTCACTCCTGCCGGCAGTGGCCGGTCCTGCGAGGCATAAGCCTTGGAGATCACATCCACCACCCAGTGTGCAAGTCGCTGCTTGGAAAGTGCCTGACCTTTCCGTGAGCCAGCGTAGCAAACAAAAAGGCTATTTGTCTTTCGGAAGGATGCCGTGGCATTGATATATGTCTCAAGGGCACGAACAGGACACAGTGGTTCAGAGGGGCTTCCGGTGTCAAGCCGAGCAAGATGGAGCGGCTGGGTACTGCCAGCCGCCGGTGATAAATGCTACGTCAGACCACAGTGTAACCCCTGAGCCATCAGGATTCCACCGGCAGCAGGGCTCGGCTATCGAGAGAGCCTGTAATTCCCCCACACGTTTCGTAGAAACCATAGCTAAAAGGAACGCCGTCTTCAGTGAGAGCCATTTGAGGTCTGCCGATGCCAGGGGCTCAAATGGGAGGGACCGAAGAGCCTCAAGCACAAGAGAAAGGTCCCATGCCGGTGCCACAGGGCGGTTGGGTGGGTGCAAACGCCGAGCACCCCTTAAAAACAGTACAACATCTTTGTCTCGGCCCACAGAAAAACGATTCAGCCCAACATGCCAACAGGAAATGGCAGCCACATACACCTTTAAGGTAGATGGAGACCGTCCTTGATCCAGCAATGCCTGCAGGAAGGCCAGTATGTCAGAAACTGAACACTGCACCGGGTCCTGCCCTCTATCACGGCACCAGGTCGCAAAGACCGTCCACTTGTTAGCATAGACAGCTCGCGTGGACGGGGCCCATGCATTAGCCATCGTATGCCCTATGGACCCAGTGTATCTTGAGAAGGTGGACCCCGGCCTTGCAGGGGCCAAATCCAGAGCTGGAGCCGGTCCGGTTCGGGGTGCAGAATCTGACCCCCCACCTGGGAAAGAAGATCTCTCCTGGAGGGGAGAGGCATTGGCGAGCCGGAGCTGAGCTCGCACAGTAGAGGAAACCAAGTCCTCGCTGGCCAGTAGGGGGCCACCAGCAGAACCCTGTGCCTCTCCTGACGCACCCTGAGGAGAGTCTGAAAAAGGAGGCTGAATGGCGGAAAGGCATAAAGGAGGGTCCGGGGCCAGTCGTGTGCCAGGGCATCACGGCCCAGAGGGCTGGTGTTGTCCAATGAGAACCAAAGGGGACAGTGAAATGCGTCCCTTGAGGCAAAGAGGTCCACGGCCGCCCTGCCAAAGACCTTCCAGATGCGGTCCACTACCTCTTGGTGAAGCTTCCACTCCCCTGGAAGCGGCTTCTGACGGGATAGAAAATCTGCTGGCACGTTCTCCGGACCTGGGATGTAGGCTGCTCTGAGGCTGGCCATGCATGGAGCTGCCCAGGTCAGAAGCCGTCGAGTCAAGCAAAACAGTTACCTTGACCTGGTTCCCCCCTGGTGGTTGATGTGAAAAACCACTGCGGTGTTGTCTGACCTCACCAGCACATGCTTCCCCTGCAAGCCTGGAAGAAAGCTCTGAAGAGCCCGAAATACAGCCTGTAACTCTAGGACATTGATGTGTTCCCTGCTCTGCCGCTGGGACCATGTCCCCTGTGCCATTTGACCCCGCCAGGTCGCACCCCAGCCCGTGGAGGATGCATCCGTAAACACAACTTCCCGACGACACGGGAGGGAACCGAGCGGGACCCCTGTGGTCATAAACAACCTCACCCTCCATTGGGACAGAGACTGAAGACACTGAGGCCCCACCCGAAGTCTGCGGAGACGATGAGTGTTCCGTGCGGGATCCAGATTCAAGCTGTTCAACCACATCTGGAGGGGCCGCAATGACAGCAGCCCCAAGGGCACTACGGCAGACGCCGCTGTAAGCATGCCCAAAAGTCGAAGGTACCGCACAAGAGGCAGTGCCATGCCGCACCTGAATTCCGGGAGCATGCTCAATATACTGTCCACCCGCTGGGGTGACGGGCAAGCAGTCATCGAGATGGAATCCATGGCAATGCCCAGGAAGACAGTCTCCTGTGAGGGAGTCAGACTGCTTTTCTCCATGTTCACCTGCAAGCCCAAGCATCCCACATGATGGAGCACTAACCGAGTATCCTGAACCGCCTGGTCCCGCGTCGCGGCACAAATGAGCCAGTCGTCCAGATACGGGAGGATCCTTAATCCTTGTGCCTGCAGAGGAGAGAGGGCCGCTGCAACACATCGGGTGAACACCCTGGGAGACAGTGAAAGTCCGAACGGGAGGACCCTGAACTGGAAATGCCTCCCCTGAAAAGCAAAACGAAGAAACCGCCAATGGGGCGGAGCGATTGGGACGTGAAAATAAGCATCCCTGAGATCTATGGAAGTGAACCAATCGCCCGGGGAAATCGCCTGCAACACTTCCTTGGTGGTCAGCATATGAAAGGGCATGACCTTCAAGTACACATTCTGAGGTCCAAGACTGGACGCAGGCCCCCGGTCTTCTTCGGAACCAGAAAATACATGGAATAAAAGCCCCCTGGATCCAGCAGGGGGTCCACAGGCACTATAGCACCCTTGGCCAGCAAGGTGCAGATTTCTTGGTTCAGTGCCTGTGCCTTCACCGGGTCGCGGATCACAGTCATCCTGACCCGGCCAGGGATAGGTGGCCGGCGGCGGAATTGAAGACAGTACCCCCGGGACAGGGTGGACAACACCCACAAGTCCGGGGTGTGGGCAGCCCAGAAGCTGAGCCGTCCCGTGTGGACAGTGTGCGTCCAAGTTCCCTCGTCATAAGAGCAAAGGCCTGCAGAGATGCATCAACCAGGCCTTGCGTGGCATAATCCAGTGGAACAGATTCCAAGGAGGAAGACAGGGCCAGCATAAGATGGGATAGAGAGTTCCCAATCCGGCCCATGCGGGCCCCAGAGTCATAGGCCTTGCAGAGAAGGTCATCGGTAATACGGCACTGAGGACGCGGACAACGGGCATTGGGCCGCAAGCCTCATCAGGTGGGATAATAAGAGAGGCAATGCCCGGTTCCACCGCTGGCATCTGCCCCAAGCCAACCTTGGGTGCCTCCTGCATAGCTGCCAGGACCCTGCCATCCGTTGTCAGACGTGAAAGCGCCTTGGTGTCTGACCAGCAAGCATGGAGTTCCCGCACATACTCCGCCGAGGGAGGAACCATAAAGGCAGTCTCTGACCTACTGCGCTTAAAGAAGGCGCTGGAAGCCGTAGGCTGGGCCTGAGGAACACCAATCTGTAAACGGGCAAGAGCCGTTCGAATAGCGGATGTCACAGATTCAGCCGTATCCTCCTGGGAGGCAATGGAGTCCGACCCAGAGGCCCCGGAGCCCAGCTCCGGCAGGTCCACACAGAAA